TTCCCATTCCTCCCCAACCCACTGGAATTTGTTTTCCAGCCAACACGACAATGAAACTGTTTTGCCAAGGTCTCCAGTAACTTTTTCTTTCTCTTTGACACTGGTAGTATTTAATGGTTTGGGCTCACCTTTCCCTTCAATCTCTCCCTCACTTCCGTGGCAGCTCCTCTCCTGGTTTTTTTTTGTCCTGTGCTGTTCTGCTTAGTCTCCTAGACCTTTCCTGCTGCTTCCGTGTAAACATACTGGTCTTCCTTCGGATTCTGACTTCAACCCTTTGACATTCTGCACATCTGGGTTATCTTATCCAAACTGAAGACTTCCACTCTCTGTACCCTGATGATTCCTAATTTTGTCTTTATTCCAGATTTCCTCCAAATCCTTAAACCCTTAAGTACTATATATACTGACTGTTTCCATCAGATACCTCTTATGTACATCAAACTCAGTATGTTTATTACTGAATATATTATAATTCAGTATATATGACTGTGTCCTCTATATTCATGTCATTTATCCCATTGCTTAAGCTAGAAACTCTTTCCCTGACACATTGCTCTCCCTCACTTACCATGTTCTAAATTCCTCCTCCTCTTCCCCCACAGCTCCCTGTCCGTCCTTCTTTTTCTCCTCTCTCTTTCTTCTTCCCCTTCGCCCTAGTCTTTTTTTTTTTCCTTTTTTTTGGCGGTACGCGGGCCTCTCACTGTTGTGGCCTCTCCCGTTGCGGAGCACAGGCTCCGGACGCGCAGGCTCGGCGGCCACGGCTCACGGGCCCAGCCGCTCCGCGGCATGTGGGATCCTGCCGGACCGGGGCACGAACCCGTGTCCCCTGCATCGGCAGGCGGACTCTCAACCACTGCGCCACCAGGGAAGCCCCCTAGTCCTTCTTTTATAATATTTCTCGAATTTCTCTTCTGTGTAGAAAGTGCCATTGCTTCCAGCTTCCCCTCAGACTCTAGTCCTTGCTTCTCTGTCCTCCTCCGTTATACAACATCAACAACCAAAGCAAATACCTTAAAGGCTACTACTTTGTGAATTTTACTCTTGAAACAAATATTTGCATTTTACCATTTACTCTTGTGACTTTGGGCACAATACTGAACCTCTGTTTGCTTCAATTTCCTCATCTGTAAAATGTGCATTATAATAGCACCTAAGCCATAAATGTGAGAATTCAATCCAGGTATTTATGAAAAGACTCAGAGCAGTGACTGGCCTATGGCAAACATTATATGAGTATAAGCTTTATATATATTTCTTAGCTATCATTGTTTTCAATTACTGTCTATTGTTATTATAAAGTCTCTTATCTGTCTTCATTTTTCACTATTAGAGATTTCCTTTTCATATTCACTTATTAAGTAATATTAAAGTGGTTAGTCTTCTGAAAAAAACTAAGCAAGTTTTTCATGTATTTTTACAGGTAAAATTTTAATGTATAAAAGCTTTAAAATTCTCTTTACAAAGTTGAGTTTAATTTGCCAGGAAGGAGGAAAGATGTTTGTGGGGCAAAGGTGTTTGTGGAGAAACATGCCTAATAGCTTTATCAGCTGGAGCTGGCTTGGATCTAAAATATTTAGGAATTGTTGTGGCTTCGTTAAAGTAGTGCTAAAATTGGCAATCGTGAAGTTTTACACCATGGAACTTGGATAAATGCCACAAATCAAGACTAGCATAACACTATATAATTTTGCTTAATACCAGGACCATTGTGAAGTTTGATGTAATGACAAACCACTTTATGGTGAATTTTAATATATCATGGGGGGTAAATTGTACCTGTAAGAGTTAATAGTTACTATATATATTAGAAGTCAATATAATAATTACCCTGATCTTGGTTGTGAGCGCCATCATTCAATATCAGAGGAGGTCCATTTGTATATTTTACACTGGTTCCTTTTTAAGTTTATACAGCGTGTGATTTTGAGTGATTAATGGCCAAGTGAATTTTTTTAACCACCTTAAAAAGTAAAAGAAAAATAGTCTTTTTCAATAAAAAAGGAAATATTTATTTAAAAGAGAAAATTTTCTCAAGTTTTAGAACCAAGTTAGGGCAAATTCAGAATTTGGGGTAATTCTTCAGTTTTACCTACAACATGCCAATGGGAAGAAAATTGTGTGAGAAAAATATCTTATTAGGCTTCGGATATTTGTTATGATTGTTATAATTCCCTATGGAAAAACTGTCTCATAAACTGCACACTGCTTGCTTGGCTTTTTGTCACTCACCTAGTGAAATAAACCACATGTAAGATCTTTATGAAACTGACTAGTTCGTGGGTTCCATTTCCTGTTGTGAGGGGTTAGATGTATCTCAAACTCACTAAAGTTCTCAAGATTGTTTTCATTCTTTCATGTAAACCAATTTAGGTTTCAAATTCGTATATTTCAAGTGAAACTGAAATTCTCTCTAATTTATCATTTCTATAATATGCAGTTCTGCTTCTGGTTGGGGGGAAACAGTTTGAACAGTTATATAGATTCTACAATAATTTGCCTTAGGAGAAGTACTGTCTGAGGAGGGCTGACTCGATGACTAAACTCCCAGCCCCCCTTTAAAAAAGTCTGAATAAAGTCCTCTCGGTGTTGGGTGCTCACATTGCTTGAGGTATTGTCCTGCTTAGAGCCCCACTTCTCATCCAGCCCAGGTGCAAGAATCTAGCGTAGACAGAGGCCTGGTTTGGGGCAAAGTTGAGACAGAGCCTACAGTTTGATAGGGGGCTTTCTCTAGAACCAGCCATAAGGTTGGGTGGTAGAGCTGGAGAGCCCTTGCTGCACTGGGAGCCCATAAGCGATGGATGGCGGAGATTCACTGGCTCCCAGTCAGGAGGCTTGGAGTGGGTGATGCTTCCCTTTACAGATCCTACAGCTGTCCTCTCCTACTTCTCTCTCTTCTTATCAGAGCTGCTCTTTTTGTATGAGCTAATGTGATTTACCTTGTTCACATGGGGCCAGAACGTTCTAGGAATGCCTCTGTCTACAACTCCCTTTTCTCCCTATTCCCCTGGTTCTTAGTTTGTCTTGAGTGCTTCCTGGGGTCTCCTGTAGCCCAGATTTTCTAAAAGTGTTCCTACTATCTAAATTGACTTACTCTCTTCTTCACCTTTAGTCCTGGCTCTCAACTAAGTTCTAGCTATCCAAATGGTATACATTATGCAAATAAGATATTTGGGCTAATATATTTTGTTAATAGGTTTTGCTGACCTCAGATAATTGCCTATAGAAAAGACTCCAGGAGACCATTTGAAGGAATGGTGGGAATTTTAGACCAAGATGCAGGTCAGTGTGGGAGATATCTTATGAAGCGGAGCTGAGACTAGAACTTGGTCAAAAATGCCTAAATTTTAGTTGTGTGTCATGACTCTAGCATGTCTACTCTTGACTAAAATTTAGAGCAGTTATTGCGTTTGTCATGTCCGTTTTTCACAAGGCTGATTAATTTCTTAAGGAATAAAATTTTCTTCTAACATTTGTAAAATAAAAAGTCGGTATGGGATTTCCCAGGAAATACAATTTAAGCACTTTAACTTCATCATTGTTGCTGAAGGAAATACAAATCCTACCTATCTTGAAAATTACTAGGAAATTTTTATTTATTAGATATGAAGTACTTGTTTATATCTATAATCATGTATTATAGTACATAGTCACATAAAGTATTTTTAGTTTTTAGTGCATTTTCAGGTACAATCCTGTTAAATATTTTTGAGACCTACAGGATTGGAATTATTATAAATATCTTGATTTTACGAATGAGGAAGTTGGTTTCGAGTAATAAACAGATTTTTCCATGAGTAACACAGCTACTACATATGACAACCGTGAGTTGATTTCAGGCCTCTGGATTTTAAAATCCCATTTTATTTCCGCTCTGTCATATTCCCTCTTCAAACATATCATAGAACCATTGTAGCTATTAGATCAATAGTTAGATATGGAGAATACTAGCCAGGTACATCGAAAATAACATTATAAAATCTTGTAATAAGATTGCATACCAATTTTTAGAACTGCTTTTCAATTATGTACAATGTTTTTCAAATTCTCCACTTGTTACCAGAAAAGATTAAGTCAATTAAACTTGACTAAATTCGGTTTAGATATTGTGGAGGAAAAAATGAAACTTCTTTAATCTAAAATGTTTCTCTCTCTGCACACACACACAGAGCCGTTGAAAGCATTTTTTTTCTGTTTTCTATTTTTGCTGATAGTCTGATGATTTTACATGAATTGTTTAAAATGTATTGTGAAAAACATGTATTTCAGATTGTCTTTTGTCTGATTTGAATATCTGAAGAGCTAGTATCAAATAGAAATTGGCAATTAATTTATCTTCCATAAAACATACGAGAAACATTCAGAGATACTTAAGGCAATATGTAATTTAAATCTAGATGTAAATAAGAATTTCCTGATAAGGAGGGTTGATAGGTACTTAGATCTCACCAAAAGAGGTTGTGGAACTTCTTTTTTCTGGGATGTTTACTTCATGTGGCTTAGATGCAACCCCATGGTATTAGCAGGACCATGAATTTAACAATCTGATGTGAACCTGTAGTATTGTGACATTGCAATGGTTATCTTGCAGGTTTATTTAAACTGCTGTTATTTAGAAATGGCACAAAAAGAAGCACAACATAATTTTGTCTTCTCTCACAAAAAATAAAAAGGGAAATATTTTTATTATTTTTAAGAACTTGAGTGAACGGTGTCCTGTCATAACTAAAGCGGTAGTGAGAAAGATGCCTGTGGGTGGAAACAGGAAACATTAGTGATAAATGCTGTTACGTATTTTTTTCAGGTGCAGCTCCATGTCTATTGATTCTAATTAGCACATTTTGTGCCTCAGCTAGTAGCTCCCCTTTAGCTCTGCTTGGAGAGTTTTTTTTTTTAGCTTCCATCCTGCTCATACATACTGCCACCTCCTCCCTCTTTCTCTCGTTACAAATGTTACAACACAATCAGAAATTTCCTCTTTTCTTTCCTTCCTGCATTTCCAGCAGGTTCCCTTGCGTCAGAAGCAGAGAAAGAAAACTAAAGGTAATTAGATCTTTTGTTTCTTTATCCCGTTTGTGTGTGTGTGAGAGTCCTTTTCTCCTGGATGCCTTCTTTAGGATCTGATTTTTGTCTGTCTTAATGCTAATATCAGAAGGTGGATGGCAGATTAATTTGGGGTTCTTTTGGATCGATTTTAAGAAATGACGGCATGCTGTTCATTTGGATTAATCCCCCGTGGTATGTCAATAGAGCTTAGAAAGACTGGCACTGAGTCGGGGAAGTGGCCGTGTTTCTAGGTGGGCATTAACCCTTTGGCATCTCTTGCATAACTACTGCTATTATTGTTGAAACGAGCTGTGTTAGTGCAGTGATGTGCCTGCCAGACTCATGATTTTCATGTTTTCAGCTTATTCCATTGAAGAATATTCTTAGACTAAGACTTGCATGTGAGTCTCACTGTTTCCTTGATCATATCTTGTACCTTCTAAGCACCAAATGAATGGTTAAAAATAAAATCGATAAATTACTTTCTTTTTGCATTTGCTTTGCATAAATCTTGGTACAAAAATCCAACTCCCTGGAGGTAAACAGCGAACACATAGATCAGGGTACGATGTTACCTACCTTTTCACATAATTGTTGCAGGTTTTTTCACCATGAGTCGGAGGAGGATATCATGTAAAGACCTGGGGCACGCTGACTGCCAAGGGTGGCTATGTAAGAAAAAGGAAAAAGGAACTTTCCTAGGCAACAAATGGAAAAAGTTCTGGGTGGTCCTGAAGGGATCATCACTGTACTGGTACAGCAATCAAATGGTGAGTCCGCTGTCTTCCTCCTGTCCCAGGACCCTTTCACAAAGGGTGGGTCAAAGATCATTGTGGAGCAGGTGAACCCCATGGGAAAGATCATTTTTATTTCTGGGACTTGGAACAGGGCAAAGAAACAAATAAGTTCTAGAAACTGTTTCTGTAGGTATGTAGGTTATTCTATTATACTTGATGGAGGAGAAAACCATCCTGCTTGACTAATCTTTGGTTGAAGAGGGGCATCCAAATATATATCCTTATTGAAGGAGGATTTCAGGGCCTGTTAATGTTACTCTTCCATGGTAGATGCTAATCATTTCAGGATTTCCTTGGACAGCCCTTGATATGGGAACTTGACATTGTTAAGATCTCTACTTAAAAAAAAGGGACTCAACTTTAAGACCTATTGGGGTGTAAATTGATTCAGTCCACAGGAAGCTATTTTCTTTTCTCCTCCTTTATTATCTTCTTTTCCTCTGACCTTCTCTATTAGGTGGGTTGGTTTTGGAATCGCTAACCTGTGTGCCGGCATTGTGTTGGTGACTGTCATCTCTCGTTCTTTGGCATGTACAGTGAAGGCATTAAACTAATGATGCTTGGACAACACTTGATAAGAAAGCTGCCTCATTTATCTTGTAACAGGCACTTCACTTTCGTGGTCTGCTTTGCAGGCGAGTTTTCTGTTGGAAAGGGCTGCAAATAAAGTTACTGTTAAAATGTGTACTGATCTTTCCTGGCTTGAAGCATTCTGAAAACAAAGATATTTGTCGAATACTGAGTAGAGACCTTTCACAAAGGAACTCTCTCCATGAACACCGAGTAGCCATTTGCTGATCTCAGGAGAGCCTGAGTTTCTCTTTGTGGTAGAGTGAAGGTCAGCAATGGATGTCCTTTAATCCATTAAGGGAAAATCATTTAAAAATTGACCACAAGCCAGAAGAATTCTTTTTACGTGATACCATTATTTTAAAATGACTTGTGTATGCCCATCTCTCAAGCAACAGAGCTTTAGGGCAAATAACTTTATAAATGTAAAATAAGTGCCCCGTGTAGTTTGTGGCTGAAATTTTTAGTCAATAAATTTACATTCACTGGCCACTAATCAAAAAGTTGTGTACCCACATAATCCAAGGCACCTGTCCTGTAAGGATTTGATTAAACTGGACCCAAATCCAATTCCAGTGCCCTGGAATAAGCATCCTCCCCTGTGCTTTTCTCTGTACTCCCCCTCCCCTGTCCCCTGTTCCTAAGCTTACAGATTTGGTTTCACCCAAAACATGGAACAAAATTCTTCACTGAGTTTTATAAAAATATATATTTTTGAGCTTTTGGTGAGTTTTAACAATTTTATCAAATATTTGGGAGCTTCACAAGAAAGAAACACCTTGCAGAGTATGCAGTCTTCCACTATCTTCTTTTTCTCTCTTTTCTTCTCCCCTCCTGGATACATTTACCAGGAATACCATGGAATAATTTTACCCAAATTAAGGCAAACTGGAGCTGGGGTCTCACCTTCTATCCTAAGGGATTTTTCCTGAACAAATACAGCTTCCTTCTTAACAAAGGTTAATTAATTATGGTTAATATAACTTTCTCCCTCTCATTTATAATATTTTAGGCTCTTGCTTTTGGTTAGTTGTGCAAGTGGTAGTTTGCATCTTCTATGAAATGAGAGGGCTTACTGATTTACCTTTTAATAGCTCTCTAGGAATTTTCTGAGGCTGTTGGAAGGATTGGGTGCTGATGGAGCATGACACATCTGTGGGAAGTAACAAAACTCAGATATAAGCATGGCATTAATTTTCTCATTCAGTCACATTATTCTGCACGTATGTTCTGGTACTGCTCCTGTCTTCATAGGATCGAGCCCCCTCGGAACCACACATACTTACAGATTTGGCTTATTTGGCTTCATAAGTTCATCTGGCTTAAGTTTCTCTTAGAAGAGCAATGAATTACCTATTTTAGGCATTAGGAATCTCACGTACTCGAATAGAATTAGATTAGCAACATTGAATGGAGAATAAATTGACTGTTATTTGGCCACAGAATTATTCTATTAAACTTGTGGTATGTAACAGAAGGACCCTTTCAACTTCCTAATTCTATGACTCTGTGTTACAGAGGAATAATCACTACACACACACACGCGCACGCGCGCACACACACACGCGAGCGCGCGCACGCACCCACACCCTGACATCTTAATTACATGTTTGTTTGGGGGAGAAAAGGCTACTCAGTGAATACTTAATTAACGGTCATAGTCCTGCTATCTGTGTGAATATCAACTGTGAAATAATTGCCGAACACATACCCTCAGGCTGAGAATATTTATTTACTTTCTGCCACTCAAGGAATTCAGATTCAACAGAGTAGCTCCCAAGGCACCAATGTCTTAAGAACAAACTTCTGTTTCTTCTACCTTCCCTGTTCCCCATGCTTTCTCATATGGTAATGGAGCTGATAGCATCACAGCCAGAGCCACCTCTTATCGAATGCCTACCGTATGTCAAGGGAGAGTCGAGGCACCTTTCGTACACACTCTTTTTAACTTCTCCAAAATACCCTCCAAGGTAGCAGTTGTCACCACGTTTAGAAAGTTGGGAAGGCTGAGACTCATAGAACTTGTGTACATTCTTCAAGTGACCCAAGTCCTAAGGGGAGGGGTACAATAGATCCTCTTTAGCCCCTTTGACTCTTCAGCTCCCGGTTGTTGTCATATGCCAACCTGACCCCATGCGGGGACCAGGATAAACGATGTGGTTCAACTCCCCTATTGTCTGCGTTCAATGGGGTTTGGAGAGAACAACTCTAGAAGTGAAACGTGGGGCCGTTCTTATGTGCAAGTACAAGTGAGCTCATGGGATCCCTTTGCTTGTCTCTCTTGTTCCCTGACACTACCCGAGGAGACATCATCCTCACCTCTCTCAGCATTTTGTCATTGTTGTTACCTAGTAACTGACGCATGGTGTACTGCCTTCTTCCATCACTCTTTGCTGCTTTAAAAAGTACTACGCAGATTTCCTTGAGAAAGGTCAAGTCCAGACACTCATCTACCATTTTTCACACCCCATATTATGTGCATAAAATGTGATGCAGCACACAAGAATTTATGCCATGTCTTACAAAACCATATTCAAGTTGAACAGCCTTAAAAATCCAGGCTGTTTAAAATCCTGGATTGAAATCCACACAGTTGTTTTCCTTTGCCTCTAGTACCAATTCATTTCCTGGCTCCTGGGCGTCTCCTGACCTGTACCTATCTTACTTCCCCAGCTTCCCCACCTCCACCCAAGCTTCAACTACAGAACTGCTTTTAATTCCTTATTAATGTCCTATATGCTGGCTGTCTCTTTAAGCCTTTGCATATGCTGTTTTTCAGCTCAGCAAACTCTTTGCCTTCATGCTGTACAGTCTTTCTCCCACCCAATTCCATCAAGCTTATTCCTCCTCGTAAGTCAAATTTTAGTTTAAATAGCGCATCCTCGAGGTGTTCTTACCTTTCCCCTGACCCAAATTAGGCTGCCTCTTCTTCTCCCATAGCAACCTATACTTATTACACTTATCTTCCTCTTTCGTACATGTTGTTAGACTTGCTGTTTTCCATAATTGATAATAATCTCTGTAGAGAAAGACCGTAGTATATCTTTAGCGCCTTAGGTAGTGTCTGATACTTCCTAGGCACTCAAGTAATATTTGTTGATTTCATAAATAAATCAGATTTAGGAATCATCAGCATTTACCTTATCCATGGGAATTTTGAGAAATGGGATGGTGAATAAGGACTGCTTTTTTTTTTAAATTTTATTTTCTTTATTTTTATACAGCAGGTTCTTATTAGTCATCCATTTTATACACATCAGTGTATACATGTCAATCCCAATCTCCCAGTTCATCACACTACCACCCCCACCCCTCCACTTTCCCCCCTTGGTGTCCATACGTTTGTTCTCTCCATCTGTGTCTCTATTTCTGCCCTGCAAACCGGTTCATCTGTACCATTTTTCTAGGTTCCACATATACGTGTTAATATATGATATTTGTTTTTCCCTTTCTGACTTATTTCACTCTGTATGACAGTCTCTAGATTCATCTAGTCTCTACAAATGACCCAATTTCGTTCCTTTTTTTGGCTGAGTAATATTCCATTGTATATATGTACCACATCTTCTTTACCCATTCGTCTGTCAATGGGCATTTAGGTTGCTTCCATGACCTGGCTATTGTAAATAGCACAGCAGTGAACATTGGGGTGCAAGTGTCTTTTTGAATTATGGTTTTCTCAGGGTATATGCCCAGTAGTGGGATTGCTGGGACATATGGTAGTTCTATTTTTAGTTTTTTTAGGAACCTCCCTACTGTTGATAGTGGCTGTATCAATTTACATTCCCAAAAACAGTGCAAGAGGGTTCCGTTTTCTCCACACCTTCTCCAGCATTTGTTGTTTGTAGATTTTCTGATGATGCCCATTCTAACTGGTGTGAGGTGATACCTCATTGTAGTTTTGATTTGCACTTCTCTGATAATTAGTGATGTTGAGCAGATTTTCATGTGCTTCTTGGTCATCTGTATGTCTTCTTTGCAGAAGTGTCTATTTAGGTCTTCTGCCCATTTTTCGACTGGACTGTTTGTTTTTTTAATATTGAGCTGCATGAGCTGTTTATATATTTTGGAGATTAATCCTTTGTCCATTGATTCATTTGCAAATATTTTTTCCCATTCTGAGGTTGTCTTTTCGTCTTGTTTGTAGTTTCCTTTGCTTTGCAAAAGCTTTTAAGTTTCATTAGGTCCCATCTGTTTATTTTTGTTTCTATTTCCATTACTCTAGGAGGTGGATCAAAAAAGATCTTGCTGTGATTTATGTCAGAGTGTTCTTCCTGTGTTTTCCTCTAAGAGTTTTATAGTGTCCAGTCTTACATTTAGTTCTCTAATCCATTATTTTTTTTTTCTTTGCGGTACGCAGGCCTCTCACTGTTGCGGCCTCTCCCGTTGCGGAGCACAGGCTC